TAATCCATTTAATGGATCATGTCTAAATCATACTTCAAAATCATGAATTTAAGTGTTTGATATGATTTTTTTGTGATTTTGGCATGATTTTTTAAAAAGGCTGAGAGGAAAAATCCTTTATATCATTGTGAATCCGGGATCCAAGTCTTTCTAGCTTGTTGCCATGTCGATAACCAGCCGTGACGTCATTTACCAACATTTACCACACTCTAGACTGTCTGCAGAAAAATATACCATTGGCAAAAAACATTGGTACCAGTGGCATGCCAATGGTAATTAATTTTACCAACGGCAACTTTTGTCTACCAACGGCAGAACTGTGAACGCACCCATTGACTACTATAGTTAAATTAATTAATCAGATAATTAAACAGGTCAATTTCACAAAACCTGTTTTTGTGTATGTATATGAATTCATGCTTATTTAAACAAAAATATCAACGAATTCCAAATTTTGAAGGTTTTGTGCATGTTTCTGTTCCTACAAAACAGTTAAACTTCATACATCCATAAGTGTGCTTTTGTTACATTCAAATATTTAATAATCGATTTATCATTTGAAGAAACACATGTGCCTTACTAGTATCTTTTTTTTGATAAGAAAAAAATTACACAAGCTTTAATTAAAAGACAGTTTCATGGTGAATAAAATAAAGCATTGAAATTTATTTCAGTAAGTGTCAATAAAATCCATTTAAAAAATTTCACTATCATATGTTCAGGTAATGATCAGCAGTGTAACCCCCCCCCCCCTCTACTTAATTAAGTGCAATCAACTTACTTGCTGAAGTTTTAAAGTTTGGTAAATTATTAATATTATTTTTTATGAAGCTGTCAGAATTGAAAATTTCTATCTAACATGCACAGACACACAAATAAGATTACTGAGTTAACCAGAGAGGTGTATTTACGCAGTTGAACATCATTCTACTACAATACAGGTGTCACGTGCAGTAGAGCGTAACTAATCCCTATCGATCATCTCTTCATAGTGAAATTCATGAGATAATCATGCCATACAAAACATTTTGTTTTCACAAGAGTAGCAATTAGGGCCTCTACATGGAATCCAAATCTAAAAGGTGTGAATTTCTTTAGCCATGGAAAAACTATTAATTGTGATAAAATTCTTTTGAAAAATAATTACAAATTGGTCTAACAGGACATACATATTTTTTTCATTAACACAAAGAGAGTTAAGCTTATCTAAATGTAATTTGTTTAATTGCTTTAATAGGTAAAATTTACAATAGGACACATAATTACCCAAGCAAATGTGTATAAAAAACGTGACAGAATCGTAACAAGTGATGAAATGGCCGCCTATTACAGTGTTAATAGGGCTGTGGGGTAGGATTTGAGTGGCCGCTGACCGCGTTACACAGGTGGCCGTTTATTCCAGTTAAAATATATAGTAAAAATCATCGGGGGAACTGAGAGTGGCCGCTGACTGCAAGTGGCCGTTGATTTCGGGTGGCTGCAAAGACAAGTTTGACTGTATATAATATTTGGAGTAAGAGAGATATCAGAGAATTTATTCATGATAACTTAAATGGCTTTAATATAGGTACAATTTCCTGTAAAGCATTTGCTTTTATTTTGGTTAATAATTCAGAATTCTTCATTGACGTCTTTGTTTTTAGTATTCTATTTATTTTAGGGAATACAATGAAGCTTTAAGTAGGCTGGCAGACATGATTCGAGGGATTGGTGATCCTCTGGTAGCCATATATGCCAGATGCTACCTAAGCAGAGTAAGATTCTTCTGTATTTCCTCACACTATTGTAGTCACATTATTATGTATGTGCATATCAAAAGATACAGTTACATGTATTTTGGATCACCATATTTTACACCTTCTGTTATCCCTATGTAGGTTGGTATATTGGTGGCTCCTCAGATTCGAGACCATTTGATGCCTTGTTTTGATGACTTTTTGTCAACTTACAGTCAGGTTTGTATCTATGGTTACTTTATTGTTTACTTCTTTGGCATAACTATCAGTAAAATTATTTGTAAGAAACTCACTGGGACTAAGAAAAAACTGCAAATTATCTGAGAATTTGATATATCTAGGCTTAAATACATATACTTTAAGAATAAGGGGTTGGGACTTCCAAATTATTCTGACATATCCATAATATTCGAGATATTAGTGTTCAAAATAATTAGATCAACTGTTTGGTTATTTATCAGGTTCAGAGTGACACAGTACAGAACACCCTGGCGGTACAGAAAGTAGAGATGCCTAAATATCTGACTTTATTCTCCCCGGCACTGGACTGGCTTCTTCAGTGTCTGGCTAACAAGTCCTCAGAGAAAACTCTGATGGAAGTACTACAGAAATCTAAGAAGCACTGTAACAGGTAAGGTCAAGACAAGTTAAAGGCAAAATAACAAGGTATTTCATAGAAATTAAGTAGCAAATGTAAAAGTATTAAAAATTTATAAGCTCTAGTGAACTTTTCTGAATACCCTTAGTTCAGGTTTTGTCTATCCATCCTGTTGTTTGTGATATATGTTATTTAAAATTAATGTAATTTTATTCTTAAGTCTGTACTTAATTCATGCATTTGATTTGATTATTTTGATTTGACATGGATACACTTTGAATTATTAAATATGATTTAATCCCAAACATTTTTGTTGTAAAATTATGCTTAGATACTGTAAATCACTTTTTATTCGCGAGAACTTTATTTTCGCGTAATTAAACGAGACAGTGCGCTCGCGAAAATTTAATTCTGGCATATAATTGCATTCCTTAAGATAATATAGAACAATACCCACAATTTGTGAAAATTTTGTTTTGCTAATTAAAAGTGAATGACTATCTCACGAAAATAAGGTGTCGCGAAAATTTAGTGATCTACAGTAGATGACAAAGCTCAATTACATCTCTTCATTTTAGTGCTTTACTCCTGAATTCCATTATCTCTGCCTTCAAGCCTGAGTTTGTGGCAGTGCGAGCAGTACAGTTTACTGAGATGATCAAGGAGTGTGAAGAAACAGGATTTCCAAAGGTATATTCTCTTAAAACATGACATTAAATCTAAAAGTATCATAAAAAGTAATATTACGTCATTTATTTCAAAATAAAAAGGTTAAATAGCATATTGAATTTACTCAAAAAAGAATCCTGAAATAACATGAAAGAATATTTTTAGAAACTCAGCTGTCTGTTAGTTCTTTTCTTTGAGGATATTTGCAGAAAGTGCTTAATTTTTTCCTTTGTACCCTGCTGTTGTGATTTTCTGGAGACTATCATCTTAGTATTGTGTCATTGTAGCATTTCCTGTACAGAACCCTGGGTCTATGTCTTGTCATGGCCGATCCCCCCGAGGATCAACAACTGGCCGTGCTAAACGAGGTCTGGAAAACTGTGATGAAACTTAAAAACCCTGGGGTAAGTTGTATTTTCAGGAAAGTGAAAGTAGATCAGGCTGATGATTTTATTTTTATAGAATGCTGATGTCTTGATTTTTATTGATAAGTAAAAATAAGTTCCAGAACAATTCTAGGTTTCTAATGCAACTGGATGACATTTTTTTCAGGATTATATCGGTTGCTCAGAGATTTGGATAGAGTATGTTGTGAAACATTTTGGGGTGGGTAGAAAAATGGAAACAATTTTTGCCTTAAAAACTTGAATTAAAAAACTTTAATGCATTTGTTAGCATTTAACATACCAGAACAAATATGTACAAATGTATATATACGTGAATTGAGAATGTGAAGTTTTAAACACGAAACTAAGATCTTTCTCAGAACTTGACTGAGCATGAGTATAGCAGTATTTACTGATACCTCCTGTATTGCTTTGCAGAAGAAAGAAGTGAACAAGATTTTAGCTGACATCATTAAACACATGACTCCAGACCGAGCTTTTGAGGACTACTATCCCCAGCTTCAGTCTGTGGTCACCAAAATACTTGCACGCTTACACGATTTCTCTGTTCTCTTTTCTATAGTGAGTTTTAATTATGTAATGAATATTTCAACGTTTAAATATATTTCATATTCAGAGTCTGGATGTAACGTATTACTTTATAAACTACTAGCATTACAATATTATGAATATAGTGTAATTTTTTGTAGGAAAAATTTTTACCATTCATTGACATGTTTCAAAAAGATTCAGTTAAAGTAGAAGTCTGTAAAAACATCATGGAAGTCTTTGTAAAGTAAGTATTTTCTATTGTTTTTCTCAGTAAAACTACAACCATTTATTTCATACAGTCAACAGAAGTCTTGTCACACATATATTAGGGCTGTATCAATATATCGATATATCGATACGTATCGATATTCAAGAAAAATATCATATCGAAAAATTACTTCCAATACATATCGGACAAGCAGTTTTTCTTCTAATTCTGCTAAAAAGGTGGAAATTATAATCAGCAAAGATTATATTTCACCTTTTTTAATTAATACTGATCAATGATTATAGATTTATAAAAGAAATAACACAGTTTTTATAGTTATAATAAAATACATAACAATATTATTTTAACATGTTGATTTTACAGTCATTAAAAGTTTCGATTTGATGTGTTTTATTTACTGACTATGGGATAAGAACTTTTAAATGGGTAATAAAACACTAATTTTTTATGAAATCCATGCATTTAATGATTAATAAGCCTTTTTTGATGGACTTGCTTTAGAATCCAATATATCGCATATCACTTTAAAAAATATTGTATCGTATCGTATCAAATATTTTTGCTCAATACACAGCCCTAACATATATGCTTACAGGGCTGTGTTCTAGATCTTAGCAAGTAGTTATGCACTGTGTGAATTGAGGATTATCCATACATAGTGACTTGGCTTGCATTTGATTCAAGCTATGATCTAAAACTTACTTATCTAGATGAACAAAACTGGATTCTTACATCATATTTTCAATTTATATTTTAGATACCAGTTGGAACCAACTAATGACCCTGTGATAATTAACGCCTTAATGTTTATTTGTAAAACCATGCACGATTCAGTCAAGTAAGTTTACAGTTCTACATTAATGATATAGTCTTTTTCTGTAACTTCTATTCTGTTTCTGTAACTTACAATCTGTGACTTATTTTTTGTTTCTGTATCTTACAGTGCTTTAACACTAGATGATGAGAGGAAGATGATAAGTAACCTGATCAGTGGATTTATTTGTAACATCTCCTTTGGGAGGGACTTTGAACAACAGCTCAGTTTTTATGTGGAGTGTAGAGCCTCATTCAGTAACTTGGATCAAGTTTTGGTTCAACTTATACAGGTTAGATTCTCTTACATTCTTTTAGTGTTTGATTCTGAATTTATAACTTCACAAGTCTGCAAAACATATTGAAAAGCAAAGGCACATGAGTATTTCTATGGATGACTTTTTGTACTACATGGAAGACTCAATATTTTTTTTCCTAGAATGTAAACAATCTATCCATGGAGACTAGAAGAGTAGTCAAGGGGAACCACTCCAGAAAAACAGGCAATTTTGTCAGGGTATACTGAACTTTTTATTTGGTCTAAAAATACAAGTTTCATTTTAAACATATAAACATACATGAAACATGATTAGAAAAAAATGGATCACTGACCAAAATTTGGACATATTTTACAGGCCTGTGCTGCCTACTGTTTCATCACCATTCCTTCTCTGCAGTCTCCTATGGCACAATTACAGCTATATCTTCTTTCTGGACAGTGTGCACTGTTAAATCAATGCTACAGCCAAGGTGTGTTGTCAATCGTCACTTGTTCGCTGATCTACAGTCTGTGTTTCTTCTTCAGATTTAGAGGATTTTTATTGCACAATATTATGTATTGTATCCAAGAACATTTATCATTGCTCAAGTGACTTTTTCTGTATTTACAGCTGATGCTTTCTTTAAGGCCCTCATCTCTCTTATTCCGGACATTCCTAAAGTTTTAAAGGTTGAAGGCAAGACTAGATCAACGGAGCCTTTACTGGTGGAACATATCTATAATTTCCTGTCTACCTTACTAATTGTTCCTGTAAGTTTTTATGTTCCTTTTTAATGCATGTATAGAAAAAAATCAAGCTGTTTAAAGACGAAAAGTCTGTATTTTTTAAAAGCTTTAGCATGAGGATTTTACTACCATGAGTACATTGAGATCTCTGGGTTTAAATGGATACACTTTTAATGTTAATTTACAGGACAACCCTGATGCGGGAGTGCTGTACTTGTTGCGTGGCCTCCTGAACATCATACAGAATTATACATGGGAGCCACAGTCAGATGCCAAAGTTTTAGTGTACACCAGGGTCCTAGCCTTATTGTCAGCCATGGGTCAAGACTCCTACATCTATCATGCAGACAGAGGTAAATAAGCTATCTGTTTGTCATAAATTCTGTGTAGTAAATCTGCTTATCAGATAGTGAAAATTGTAAATAGAGAACACTATCCATTAGAGTTGGCCATTGGAAGAGGGTTGATAAAAATTCCATGCAGTTTCATTTCAGTTATATTGCTTCATTTCTTTTTCAGTTGATGCCAATGATTCAATGTATGGATCAGACCCCAAATTTCTCAATGAAATCAAGACAATGTGCAGCACCCTGGTAGAGGAAGTTTTAAACCATCTAAAAATGCTAGCCCAGTCTGGGGTTGGTATTATATCAAAAAATGTTTCCTAAAGGCTCACTTCCATGTTGGCTTTTATGTCTGAAATGATTCTTTCGATAGGATAGAAAAAACAAATGAACATTGCAAGAGAGGGGAAGACAATGCCACTATTTTCAACTTTCCTTCATATTGAAACTGGAAATTTAACTCTCTCATCCTTTTTGTAGATGCACAAAAGACAAAGTGTCATTGCCTTAGAGCTGTTCCAGACAATTATTGCTCATGGAGATATAAGAGAGCAGAGTTTATTTTCCCTGGCAGCTAAGCTCTGGGGACTAGCTCAGAAGCAAGGAGAATTAGACACCAAAACCATGGTATAATTCTGTCCTGATTAATACCTCATGTCACATTGGTTGACTGTATTTGAGATTATTTAACATTATTTAAAAAAAAAATTATATCTGCCTTGGAAAAAATACTGATGAAATAATGAATTCATTACATGTATTTACAGGTTCGCAGTTTAAATGGAGTCAAAAGTAAAGCAACATCTACATCCATAAGAGAATACTCAGAGCTTGCAAGCAAGCTACCCCTGGAATCCAGAACTTAGTGTTAGATCAGTCAACTTATCCAAAGACTTATGTTTATGTGACATTGATTAAAAAACACTTTTAATAGACTAAGTGATGAATTGTGCAAATGTCACACTTAACACTGGTGCTGAAATTTAATTACTATACTTTCAACTGTTGGCAACAGTATAGACTTTAATGGTCTTCCAGTATGGTGTTCAAAAAGATGAACAGTATGATATACAGAAGTACAGTATAATGTCTATTACAATGTGACCTATTTTGAACTCATAGTACATTTACTATGTATGTATGTGTCAATAAATGAGCATCAATATATTAATATTAAGAGGGCTTAATTTTTTTTTTCACAGAAATAATTTTTTTCCCTCATCCAATATCATGTCGAAGTAATTGGCTTGAATATAATTCTTTTTCTATGGTTAAATGAAAAGGGATGCCCAGAATTTCTGTCCTTTAAATGGCAGATATGTATGTAATCATGGTATTATATTTACATTCAGTGTAATTTTCCTTATGAAATCCATTAGAAATACACGACGTTCAAATTTCTATAACACACGCGAAACCTTGTCACCACGCGTTAGAATACACAGTAGGAACTACATGCATTTTCAATACTCTAGGAACACCAAAATGTGAAATGTTTTATTTCAATTTAATGAAAAACTATAACCCTGAAAAATTAACGTAAAAATTAACGTAATGTGCATTAAGAATTAATTTGTCACTTTTTTTCCTCGCAATGTTTGTTTGCGTTATTTAACTTTGCAACGTCATTTAACGTCGTTTGACGTCACAAACGGCTCTTACATCTATTAACCACTGCAGTTTTGAAGGGCGCTAAATTCACATCTAAGATTAACCAAATAAGCAATTATGAAAAAGGAAAATTAGAGAATGTAAATATAAGCATTGAATTCATATTTTTGGATGTCTTCGGTCCTATAACACACCTGGCCGTGCCGACAAATTATCATACCGCGCTAACGCGCGGTATTCAATTTGTCGGCACGGCCAGGTGTGTTATAGGACCGAAGACATCCAAAAATATGAATTCAATGCTTAAATACAATCCAAATGTACAACATCTTGGGGAGTTAATTTTTGTGTAATATTGAAGACTTTCTTTTGAAATATCACAGCAAAATGAATAATGAATCAATTTTTTCTTTCAAAAAAGTTTTTTAATTTAGAAGTGCTTTTTAAATGGGGTGCAGTAGATAAAAAAAAGATGTAGTTCTGTTGACCTTGAGAGTTGTATTCAATTCATACCAAACAATGTGGGAAGATTAGCTTTCTTTTATTAATCCAATATACATGTACTGGGGTATTATAAATTTAAGTCCAATAAAAGTGAAAAATGTCATTCAGTCACTTAATTAATATCTGGAGGGGTATCCTATATAGGTAGAGCAAGGTAACCCTTCTCTCCCCCACTCTTGGTAATGATGCTACAGATGTGTGCCAAAAGTTAAAGATAATTTTATTTTTACCTTGCTTTTTAATTTTTTTTTTTTGATTATATATTTCACTGAAAACAACATTTTGTAAAAAAAAAACACTGGCATGACAACATTGGCAAAGATATGTATGTGTACAAAGTATCAAAAAATGAAAATAAGAAATCTGCAACTACATGTAGTTCAAACCCATCGAAGTACGACTTAACAACGGTTATATTCAAAAGTTACTTCCCTTGTAAGAACTCTTTGATTTGTCCTTCACTGCTGCAGGAGAACTGCAGAGGAAAGTAGAAAGATGGGTCTTCTACGACATACGCTGAAAAAGGTACGTAATGTGTATTCTTATGACCTTTTCTTACATTGGAGCGAACCAATCTCAATACACGCCCATGGATAAGTTTAAAATTAAAGCGGTGATTCTAAGTAAGGTCATACACCGAGTTTGAAATTGGTCTCAATTGTTTCAGTAGGCATAATGTTTCCCAGCAATAGATAGTTTTCGATAGGCCTGAATTTAGCGAAAGTTACCTCCCGTTGGCCGCCATATTGGAGGTCATACCCTCTTTGTCTTACCAAGTTTAAGAAAATATAGCAGAAATATTTGGTGGAAAATGTTTATCAAATAATTTTTTTTAAATAAAGGAGGCTTCCAAAAAATTATATACTTCAGAAAAATAATGATTTCTAATTCAAAATAGCAAATATAAAAATTTTAAATTGGTTGAACAATGAAGGAATATGAGCATTTGGACCTCCAGTATGGCGGCCAACGGGAAGTAACTCTTGGTCAATCGAAAACTATCTATAGTATTCCTATAATTGGAAACACCGGTAAATTGTGGAGATCTTAATTTAAAAGTAATCTTTCAGATTACTGATGGAAAGTTTGTGTGGGTTTTTTTTCACAACATATGGCAGTGTAAACTTGTCAAAAAAAAAACAAAACTGATAAGGCAAATGTTAAACATTTTTTTGTAAATCACTAAATGTTTCTTCTTTTTTTAAAAGATATACAGTGCAGTATGTATCACTGCTAGCAATACAATTTTCTTATTTTTGAAGATTTTCTTTCACATTTAAATATTTTATTTTAGGGTCTGATGGGCAACCATGCCCAATTGAGACTTTTTCATGGAACAAACGCAGCTGCTGCCAAAAAGGTTGAACTTTCTCTATCTCTTTGAATATATTTTTATGCTACTGTAACATTATTTTCTTACATTCACAAGAACAACTACCTGTGTAATGCCTAATGAACATGATGAAATGTCAAGTTTTGGGACAACTGCACTTTACCGGTACGTCCAAATAACATGGAAATAGCACGTGCTCTTTCTATATAAGAGAGTCACGCGTCAGCGTGACGATTTCGCTAAAAAGGCAATAAAATGCAAAAATAACCTATTTTTTGAATTTCTCGTCATTTTTCATGTTAATAAACTTCGTTTAATTAACGAAGTTATTAATTAAAACTAAAAGCACTTTCAAAACAAACCTTTGGCTTTCATTTTGTCGGCCACATTCCAAAGTCGTGACGTTGTTAAGCACGTGACTTATTTCAGTGCTGTGATTGGTCAGGGTAGGTGACGTGAAATAGAAAGTTTGACTTCCACTCTATTTGATTGTAAACAGTGATTCATCATGCACCTTATTTAAGATGATTTGTGTTGTGTTTTCTATGAATGGATATTTTTAATTGACTGACTGCAACATTCTAGAATTTTTGGAAATTTTAGCGATAAATGTGATCCTTAGTTTATGGAAATGTTGAATAAGTGCATGGAGGGGCAAAACTTGTAAACATGCAGTGAGTACGGTCTTGTTTCGAGAAACAGCAATCGGCAGTATAAGAAAAATGAAACGTAAGAGACACATCTTAGATTTCTGGAAACAGAGCTGCAGTAAATCCTGGATTTACGAACTAAAATTTATCTATTTCAAATTGCAAAACACTGGATACTTTACAATCATTGAGACCACATGGAAGGCAGTTATATAGGAAATCTCTACTAAAACAAGAATGCACTAGGATAGTAGCTGTAATTAAAAATTGACGTTTATCACCTTCATCACCCGTAAAAATGTATTTATAACTCATCAAAAAAAGAAACAATGGTTCTACAAGTATAGTGACACGTACGTATGGCCCCGAGTCTTAACGCAGATTTATCTAACGACTAAGGTAAGTTTGTTTTATTTATTTTTACGTATTGGGGGCTGCCGCCCCCACACCCCCGCTTAAAAAAGCGAAAACCCATTTAGATATCTTTTTTCTCGCTTAGAGAGTTTCTTACACAACAAAATGGCGTCGCCCATCATAGTTGATACGTTGCTAAGTTTTACGCCGCGCACTCTCACGCGCGGATCTAGAATCAAAATGGCGGCCGTACCGGTAAAGTGCATTCTATCCCAAGTTTTTCTATTAATTTTAAGTTTATTTAGAAATGTAGATATTGTCTTTAAAATTAAATGTATTACTTTTCAGATTTATTTGATATTATGTGTCTCATGAGAAAAATTTTGGTTTTTTATAGGTTGCGATGAGCAAGTTTGACCAGGATACATACATAGACTATGATAAATATGAACATAAACTAAAAGTAGTCAGAGAAAAGTAAGTAAGAGGTGGATTTTTTCGGTTGGTATTTTATTGAAAAAATTACCACTTAATATGTTTTACGGTGTGACCGTTGGGGCGAGCGCAGTTGTACCATCAAAAACACTTGAGATCAGCCACTTCGAACGTCAAGCCGCATGAGACATCTCGACTAGCTGTGACGTCATACGACGTCACAAAGCTCGTCAGAGCTTACGGAGACAGCCGAGCGTCTGTTTGAAACTAAAGAACTAGTGCAATTTTTGTCGAAAAACATTGCAGAGTTATTTCTTGTTTCTTTGAAAGATTTCTACAAACTGAAAGTCTGATATATGCTTTACGTTATTTATTTATTTATTCGGCAATATTCGGCCAAAGGACATTGGGTAGTGCAGGAATTCTGGGAATGTTGCACAGAGAAATTGGCTGACGTATGTACAGATTTCAATCCGAATTTCCTCTGTTCTTACACGTTAGTCTATTGAGCTCGCTTCGCGCTCGCTAATATGTTCTACGGTGCAACCGTTGGGGCGAGCGCAGTTATTTACTATCAAAAACCTTTTGCACAGTTATTACCTCAGTTCATAAAAAAAAAGAATAAAAAGAAATCACTTCTCAGGCGTCGGGATCGAGATTCCGAATTTTTCGGAAGTTTCCAACAAAATCGGAAATACCCGAGCCGTTAAGTGACGAAAGTATGACGTCAAATAAAAAGTCCTGTTGACTTAGAACGCAAACGATAGTTTTGTGGCATGGATATTGCATTAAATCGTTGTTTGTAATTTTTTTTCAAGTAAGTTGTTGCTATGTTTTAGCCACCATGTTGCTATGCACCGCAAAGGATTATTGGGAGTTTGGAATTTTTTCACGCGGTGAGATAAAAATTTCTTGAAACAATGTGCAGATTTCAACCCGAATTTCCTCCGTTCGTACACGTTAGTCTATTGAGCTCGCTACGCGAGCGGCGCTTCGCGCCGCCTCGCTGCGCTTGCTATTAGATATTGTTTTTATTTCTATTGCAATAGTAATTGTAATTTTGTCAGTGTCCAAAAGGAAATGAGTATTTTTTGTTAAAATATGAATTATAAAATTAAGCAGTACAATAAATATATGAAATTGAAAGGGTATGGTACTAAGTAATTTGATTTCAAGAAATTTGGCTTCTATACCAAAATATGTCTATTGCTGAAGTATTAATTGAGGGATGAAACACTAGCAAAAACCTGGCATTGAAAATGATTGTAAATATACATGTA